GTAGGTTACAATTTTCTAGAATCTGATTTTATTGTAAAACCAGATTGAAATAAAAAATTTTGGTCCTGGTAGCTTCATAATTTAATATCAACCCTAAAAAAGACTCTCAGAAATGTCTAATATAGTACTTCCACTAACGTCAACACATATTTCTGCAAAAAAGTGTTGAGAAGAGACAAAAAGATTCATTTGGGTACTCAATGTTAATCTCTTCTCATCACTTTTCTGCTTGAAAATGTTTGATTTCTCAAGGGAAACTCCAGTCACTCAGGGGTGTGAAAGGGCCAATAATCCTGATGCAAATATGGGCTTGTTAGGAGAGAATCTTGAATCAGATCAAGGGAGCCTGGGTGTAAATACCTCTTTCCAGTGATGTATTTGTTGGCATCATTTTGGATTTCTTTTCAATAATGAATTTTTTTCAGCAGATCATTTCACAAGCTGAGCAGGAGCAAGCTGAACTTGAAGTGAAAACAACCAAGCACGAGATCTTTAAGGTTTAAAACTCATGTCTAATTAGAACAAATTTTTTCAGAGACAAAATTATTATAGTCAAACCTTGTTTATCTGTGATTACCTGGATTGTCCTGATTTTTTTATCATATGTGCTCTTATTACTCCAGTCCCATTTTTTATGAATATTTTGATAAGTCACAATCAAGATCCATAACAACTTTGTTCCATCAAATAAAGCACATTTTATGAAACTCCTGTTGGAACTTTTTCCACTTTTCATAGTTGTGGGATGTTTTAGGGGATGTTTTTAATATACTTTAGATGGTTATACAAAACAATGTTGGTGCTATTCCTGACCACTATTGAAGCATCAAGGAATGATAGAATTTATTGCGAGCACACACTGATTTGTACCAGCATTTTAGGTAGATTTAAAATGTTGTTGGTCATAATATAAGTCTTCAATAGGCCATTTTTCAGTTGTGTACTTAGTTGCCAAGCCTTTGATTTGGAGTGAGGCTGAAGGTGACCTTGTTGTGTTAGAGACCAGAATCTAGTTAGCATGATAACAAATTAATTTGCATTTCAAAAGCAGCAAGGTTTGTATCATAACAAGGTCACCCTCAGCCTCACTCCTGTTCAAAGGCTTGGCAACCAAGCACACAACTGTAAAATGGACTATTATCTGGGCTATTTTACCCAGTCCTCATGAGCTTTGACTGTACTATCAAATCAGGTGGTTTCATCTTCAATATCCGGTAGAAGATTATGTGCTCTGAAGGATTTTGATTACTAACACAGTTAAGATGATTCCAAAGAAAGAGTTTACTTGTTAACATCTCACAACAAAAATTTTTTTTTCCCAGGCTCGTAAATTGAGGGAGTCATTGAGCAAGATTTCTGATGGGCTTCAGCAATGGGCATCCAAGACAAAATCAGTTGCAGAGACATACAAGAAACTTGCTGATCTTATCACAGATACTCCAACTCAACTCTCAGAAAGCAAAGTTTTTCATGGTATTTGCTGTGATTTATTGAAATAAATGATAACAATTTGAATTTTTTTTTGAAATTTCCAGTGCTTTGCACTTAGTTTATAAACAGCCCTATAACCTAGACCCATGCCATATTTGCTTGTTTGCTATCTCAGTAAATAAAGAGCTTGGCTGCTGTTAGTTTACCATTGTCCAGTAATTTTGTTGTTTTTCAATCTAGTTCCCAGGGTTCTCTCTTTTCCTCCCTCAAAAGAGACTGTGGTTGGGAATGGTCATGTGTCTCCCAAAAATTTGGAGATTAGAAAAACCAAATTGAGGTTGGGTCTCATTCGTAAAATTTTGGTCAATACTACCTGGATGGGTAAGGGGACGTATTTCGTAAAAAACAGCGACAATTTATTTTCTTTTTAATTCATTCCCAGGAGCTGGGCAATCAAGAAGCATTGTAAATGATCTTGCTCGACAAATTTCTATTGATCCTGAAATTTCTGCCCAGTTGGCAACAATGTCACAGTCTACCCACTCTTATCTGTATGCCATGTCTGGGCCTGTGAAGCAAGACAGACATTATGCAGAATTAAATGCTGCAATAGACCAGAAGCCGTCAAAAATGCCTCATCAGCATCTACGAATCAAGGACAGTCTTGTGGACCAACATGCGAGGAGGCCATTGTCACTGAATGACCTGAGGCCACCACCAACCTCACCCCCACCCCCTCTGCCAAAAAATGGTAAGCAGCATGGATATTACAGACCTTGTGGCTCAAGTCAGGAGTATGTGTTTTGAAAGCTTGGGTGTCCTGTGTTTAGCTAAGTGGATTGATTGCTGCAACCAATCTCTCAAGTTGGTTGAGTTACAAGATAGATGTAAATTTTGGGCATAAATGCATTGAACATACCAGAGACACAATATCAACTTACTTTGTTCCTAAGTATGTTTGAAAAATTCAAAACTTCCAAACACTTGACGTGACGAAGAAAGAATGCTTTCTATTCATGTCAAGTGTTATAAATTTTCTCTCCTTTTCTTTTCTTCTTAAGAGCACATTTAAAACATTTTAAGCTAATTACCCAATTTTGTATATTTCAATGATTTGCAGCAAAGCCAGTTGTTTTTAGAACAAATTCAGCAAAGGAAAGCATAGTACGGAAAAGTGAGTACAAACTAATTATTATAAAATAAATAAATAAATAAATAAATATAACAGTAACTGCAAATGAAAAATTACCATTCTCTGAATTTTTCAAGTGTCCATGGAAACATGGATTAACTAATTTTTTTTAACTTAATCTATCCACAATTAGCTTTTTAAGTTTTTTCAGAAAACAAACTTTAATTATTTATAATAAATATAATTTTAAGTATAATTTTAACTTTTTTTAATTTTTATGTTAATTGTAACACTAAGTGATTGTGACTAAAAGAATAATACATTCATAAAAGCTTGAGTTATGGTTAAAAGCTGACTAAATGTGCTTAATTTCTACTCCAGCTAAGATGAATTCCAAACAGTCAACTGGAAAAATCTGGTATGCAAGGACAACCATCTCAAGCACTTCAGATTCTGACAGTGATGGATACACCGAACCTGTTACAGATGCTTCGTTCTTTGAAAGAAGGAAAAACATGCTTTGCAAAGTACTAAGTGATGGGGCTATAGACCAGGTGGGGGTTCACACTTATGCTAGTAGAGAAACTGGCTATGCATCAACTAGCACAAATTTTTACCATCAACTGGAAAAAAGACCCTCAGGAGAGGACAAGGTTATTGAAGAAAATGAACCTGCGAGCTACGTTGATCTGATTAATAATTAACAACTATTCACCAAAGTGGAGGTGGCTAGTGTTGGATATTTACTAAGCAGAAAAAGGGAGAGGTAAACATTCAATGCTAGTCACAGATGCTGAGGTGAATAGTTGTTTTTTTTGTATGTGGTAATTAAAAACAGTGGGATGACATAGCCCAAAATGATGATTTTAACTCATTTATTCTTACAACAATTTCAATATTCTTGGGTGTAAATCCTGCTTGCATGCTCTGAGGTAAATACCAATTAAGTATATACAGAGTCTTAGTAGTCAATCAGAGTATGCCTTCAATGCCGTCCACAATTCTAGTATACACTTATTACAGATAACCGTTATACACATTAGTGTTGCAAATTATATTTTAATAGTGAATTTAAATTGTACATCAACTTTTTATTTACTAACTAGAGAAAATTGATATTATCTATTATAACTACCAGGTTTTCTGCTATTTTAATAGTCAACAAGTTCCAAATTATGGTTTTAGTTTTGTAATTTAAGATTAATTTTGAGTCATTTTTCTGGAAATTTGTAAAATTCATGAATCGTTACTGACTTAGAGCAGTTCCAGCAAACAATGGACCAAATTAACCTTTGTAAAATAAGTCCTAACAATATATAATTCAAGTGATTGTTTACATCACAGAGGATAGATATATAGATAGATAGATAATTTATTAAAACTGCATTGCAGCCAAAGGCTGAATTATGCAATTATTACAAAAACTTTACAATACTTGAAATTACAAATGAATCTCAGAAAATAAATCAAAAACTGATTTTTAAGATAATATTAAAAAATTCTATATAACATATTCATATTGAAATATGTTAAAATATAAAGCATGAATCTAAGTGGGATAAAACTACAGCCTGGACTGTTTCAACATTGCATATATAACTACTAAATGTGCTCAATCAGCCTTGTGTTGGTTCTTTGCCAAAATATTTGAGGTTTAATGATTGTGTTCACTTCTGAACATGCAATTTTCTTTTCCATGGTGGAAATTTTGAAATGAAGCCACCTTAATGTTGAACATTAAGTTGCCATTATCATGATGTCATTTCAGTTGTCATTCAGTACTATTACAGGTATAATAATAATTATTATCAATAATAATTTTTATTAAGTTGCAAGTTTTCTCAGGGTAGTATTAAATGTATGTCACTGTTCAACCATGTTCAAGTAGACTAGAAAAAAAGAGTATTAAATTCTGTGGCTTGACTTTTTACTTTTCTAAGGTTTAGACTGAAATAAGAAAGTGTTCAGAGAATGTATTTTTTAGACAGAGAAATCTAGAAATCTTTTTTAACCCATGAAGTTTTAGCAGTTTTATTCACAATGAAGCTGAGTTGAAAGAAAACAAATTAGCAGTATTTGACTGCACAGAATGAAATATTGCAAAGTAGATAATTATTGTACATTAAGTGATTATTAGAAATAAATTATTACAATCATTAGAAAGGATTGAACATGACTGTAGTTGTCATTTGTTTGGTTTACAGTTGTAATAAGTCATGGCTGGTAACACTAGCAGTTTGCTCCCAGAAAATCTTTCAATTTGTGTCAAAACTAATAAAAATTCATTTTCACTTAATGATTAAGTTTTTATACAGGTTAAACTGATGAAAACATCAAAATATCTTAGTCACTGACTCCATCTACAGTAGGTTCTTGGTCACAATAACTCATTATATGCATTAATTTCTGTCCAATCTCATTAAGTGAATTGTAGCTTTTGGGTTTAGTGACAGGAAAACCAAAGTTGATAAGAACTCCTTCCTCACCCACAGGTACACACTTTTTCAACCTTCTTAGAGCATAAAAACAACCTTTTACATGACTACCTTATACTATTGCTCTGATGAAGGGCTAATGCTCAGAACATCAGCCTTTTAACTCTTTACGGTGATCAATTTATGTTTTCACCTCAGTTGTTAACACTGAATTACCTTATACCAAACTTACCAAAATTGTTCTGTAGTTCCTACAGTGAACATCTCATCCTGTTTGTCTCTAGAAGCTGCACAGATATAATGTAGGGCAGAGAATTAAGGGTCAAACTAGACAGTTCTGTTAACCTCACCTCTCTTCTAAAATATTGGATGATGTTTTTTCAACAACAGAAATAACACAACAGATTTAAAAAGAACACTGCAATGTACTTTGACAAAAGGGTTTGAGTTATTTACAAGTATTGTGCACTGAAGGACTTGACAGAGAAAAATCACTTTGAATTTAGGTTTTGACTTATTT